CAGTTGTGCTTTTTCATGTCGTCTTTTCTTCTCTGGCGCTCTTGGGGGCTGCCTCTCACTGTCGCCGTGTCTCTTCCACCGCATGGGACTCGCGACAGATGTTTTGTTGTGTTCGACCAAATTTCCCGTCTGCTTTTTCCGCAGCGGGACAGAGAGCACTGCTTGTGTTCCGCGGACTGTGTTCGTTTCCTGTCTCTTCAATTGAGGAATATCCCTTATGTTATGTCTTTGCTTGACTGCCTTTTTGTCTTCCTTTGCTGCCCTCTCCCCCTTCTCTCTCCTCCTCGTGGACTTCAAGGATTTGCACAGATCCTCGTACCTTGGCTTCGGAGCCATTCTCTTCAGCCTTATGAAAGATTCTGACATGTACGAATTCACAAACACTCACGTTAGACATGGAACGATTTTGGCACATGGAACGACCATTTGTCATCCGATGCCAACATACGCGACATTTTCACACGCAGAGAGAGAGAGAGAGAGAGAGAGAGAGAGAGAGAGAGAGAGAGAGAGAGAGAGAGAGAGAGAGAGAGACGAACGTTTTTTGTCGTTGTGACATAAAAGACGACATTTTTTTTTTATGATACATTACGCATTCAGCCATCAAGTAACATGCACAAGTTGGCTACCGCGTGCCAATTGGCTTTTCTACGACATGTGAGTTTTGTATAATTGCACGCGGTTGTCAACTTTGTGTTTCAATGCCGGGTTTCTATCATGCTCTTGTAATTACGAACTTCTACTCCGTGTTCCGTCTACGAGATCTCTGAAGACATTTTCTATGTCACACGCTGCTCCGGTGTTATATCCTTTTGCCATTGCAGCGCACTGCGCAAAGCGCTGTACCATCGAGTGACGAAATCTTTCGACCGTTCGTTCGTTGACCTCCATCGCGCTAACAACTTCTGTTATATATTTTGCGGTTATGTTCGTTCCGTTGGCCACGTTTTCTAGCGTTCGCATCAATTGTGTTGCCAAGCAACAAACGTAAACACCACAGTCTGACGTATTGGTATGTTCCGAACATTCCGCATATACTATGTTAGATCCAAGTAGATCTCTGCATGTCACCCACGACGTGTCCACGGTCTCGGTAGTCAACACCCCTGCTTTGTCTGCCTCGTTGAGGTATTCATACCACAAAAATGTACGCAACGCCTTCCATTCTTGTCGGCCGCTCTGTTGAAAGGAATCCATGAAGATTGCAACAGGTCATTTCTGGCCATCATTGTCCTCCATGACTACCAAAAACCGACCGACATTTAGTAACAAGAGCAATTTTCAATGGTTTTTGTAATTCACAGGGATGAGAACAACAGTTGTCGTTCGCAGTTCATTACTCAATCGATGCAGCTTTGCAGGTTTACTTTTGATCCGCTCCTGCCATCCTGCTTTCGAAACATAAACCTTATGATTGGCGATCACTGCGGGATGCCAGAAAGTTGTGCAAACATGAAGTGTCGTGTTATGGAGTGCAGGGAAATGTTATTCATAGACGGACTGTAAGTACATATTGATCACGTCGACTTTCAGCCACTGCTTCGGACCCAATCGCAATACGTCCCGTTTCGTTATCGCTATGGCGTGTCTTCTTGATGTCCACGTGATTGGGAACAAGTGTTCCTCGTCCACCCTCTCGGACCTCTTTCCAGCCTCTGCAATCATACCTCTTGACTGATTGCCCCCTGCAATACTGAACAAAGGTTCATGTGCCATCTGAGGATATTGGACGTCATTTGTGGTCATCATCTGGTACATTTCCGCATACCACGGGTCCTCCAGTATCCTCTTCCATCGCTTCACTGATCTCTCACTGCTCAACGGGAGCAACGACTCGTTGATACTTGGTCCACATGACTGTTCGTCATTCCTTGCTGTTTCTGAACTCTCCGTCGCTTTTGAGCCCATGATACAACCCTTGCCATCTACCCCCTCGTTCATTTTGTAAGATTCGCTCATCTGAATACCCCTCATTCTCCATCATACAACAGATGGCACGGCTGATGGACTGAGGTTGAAGTATCAGTCTAAATCGGCTTCTCCACAATTCCTGAAAACGCTTATTTTTTTCGCTTGTTGTCTTGACACTTCTTCCAGTGTAGAGTGTCGTTCCGGCATTACCTCGACCTCAACATTTTCTGTCCACATGGCAGTCACATGGCCATGAACCACATCTTGTCAATTACACTGCAGGTTGGTTAGTATTTCGACAATATGTATGTGTGTGTGTGTGAGAGAGATAGATAGATAGATAGATAGATAGAGAGAGAGAGGCAGAATGACGGTTTCCTGTGACGTCAAGACCTTTTGTCGAACGCAAGTATAGACATAGGTTGGCTAGTGCGTGCCACCTGCCACTTCTTAAGTCCACGTTCACCATACATGTRCAYGCAGTAGTCAACTYTGAAGTTACCTTCGTCATACACACCGCTTTGATGCACCTTTCTCTACATTGCTGTGTAAGATGACATAGTCATATGCAGTAGCCAACTCTGAAGTTGCCTTCGTCATACCTTCGTCATACATACAGCTATGTAACGGTGTAACACATTCTTCTCTGTGCGAAAAAAACATTCTAACAACCGGGTTGTTCCATCTTGCACGATCGTGCCGGTTTGAAATACAGTCTCACCGCTTTAAAAATCTACCGATATTTGAACTCCATCTTTACGAAATTACTATTGTCGTTCAAACGTCTCTCTCTCTCTCTCTCTCTCTCTCTTTCTCTCTCTCTTTGTGTAAAAGAAATACAAAAGAAAGACCCCTGTTGTAGTATAAAATTGCGACTGCACCAACCACAGATTATTCTTGGAAAAACGTTCAGCCTTTGAAATTTTGTTTTTTTTGTTTTTTTCTATTTCCATGTACATTTCTAGAGTATATATCTATTCAACAAAAAATTGTCCTCCGTCTCTTTTGCATGCTTCTTCGAGCCCCAATGTCGTTTACAAAAACGAGGAACAATGTGAACGGTCTCGATGATGGTGTCAATCGTTATGACGCTACTATGCTGACGACCGTTTACCTTCTCCCATTGCAACTTCTTACAACCTGTTGTGTGTTCCCTTTCGCTATCCACCTCTTTGTACCATTGCACGAAACAACACTTCTGCATCTCCGCGACACGCCCTGTGCAAGTGTTCATGACGAAAAACATGGCTACGGATGCATACCATATGTTGTCATTCGTGCCTCTCACCGCAACATCGCTGTGCACGGCTCTCCCGTGGAACTCTGGTGAAGTTCTTGCCGTTTGAACGCCTGCGCCCCTGTGCGTCCCGTCGTGTGTCGCGGCGATAGTCAAGTGTGTTCGAGTGTGTATCACTTGGTCATCAGATGGAGGTTGACAGTCGTTCTCCGTCATGAACGTCATGAGCGCAGCTCGAAAATCCTCTCTGCAGGGAAGCTCGTTAAGTATTCTCAACGCCGCGTTGCTTATACCCTCCACCTCCGGCAAGTGCACACGGTCCATCTGGAACCACCGAAGTTGTAGAGTTGTTGTGTTGCGCGCAGCGAGGGTATTAATTCCAGTGGTCATGCAGTCTGTCACGGATAACCAATTTTCTATCGACCTCTTTCTTCGTTTTCTCACAATCTCCATCTCATCCTGCAAAGCTAATGAGCGTTGGACATGATTCACCATTTGGGAAGCGGCCTTGCGCTTGTTCAATGCCAGATATGGTTGTTTGCAGAACCTCTGATGATGATGCTCCCACACATCAGCCGCGAAGGTGTCGGGGACACCGGATCGCTCTATGCATGTTCTCAGATGCATAGGTCGTCCAGCTTCGGAATTTTCCAATCCGAGGTTTGATATTTTTCCATCTTCGTTTTTATACTCGTTATGAAATCACCTATCAATACGTTACATACATCGAGAGAAGTCGCAGTGTGGGTCGACTTACGGAACACGTGTATGTACATTTCCATGAGTTTTATGAAACAAGCGCAAATGAATTTGTCTGTCGCACGTGGGATGATATCACAAATAATAAACTTGCAAACTGTCATAACAGACCGATTTTGCTTCGCTTCAAAACGTCCTTCCCTTGAAAAGAAATCACAACCTGTAGCCACGGGCAACACGAGTTGCGGGTATGTCCTCACACATCTCTCACTGATGCTCTGCAACCTCGCATCCATCTCGTGCAATATCTCGGTTTGCGCGATATCCGGCAACTTCTTGTAAGTTGCTGCCTTGAATGCATCTATCATATGCAAGAAAATGCCGTGTTCAATGGTGTGCATACGGTCCAGTTGCAAAGCGAGATGGTAATCTAGTTGAGGATCGTCACCATTCGGACTCCTGAAGAATCCCCAAAGACTGTTCTCTTGAACATGCTTATGCATGTTCAATTTTAACATTCGTGCCTCTGCGGCACGGCGAATATCGTTGTCTCCATTGTTGAAGCAGTTTGCAGCAAGTTGCGTCTCTAGCGTCTGCGACCTCCTGCAGTTGCTGAAATCAGCGATGACATCGAAATCGTATTTGGACACTGTGCATGTTGGACAAACACCGAATTTCACAGTTGCAAGGGCACACCTTTTGGGATAGTCCTGTATATAGTACATGACGAAAGGATGGACTGTTATCTCGCCGAACAGCTCCGTTGTTACTATCATGCCGTCATGGGATGCCTCCTTTGCGGACCGCAATACTGTGGACAACGCTTTATGCAATATCACAGCTTTCCGTTTTCTAAACGCGGTGGAGTGCAGACCCCAACCCTTGTCACGTGGCCGATGTTGAAGCACATGAAGATACGCAAGGAGTGTGGCGTCCGATGCGCGATCGGCTATTGACGTCATCAGAGGATACGCTGACTGCTTTTGACGACCGTCTACATGAGTCTTGTCTGAATACAGAGACAGAGGTATGACATAACGTGTTTTACCATTCGTGTCCACACCCTTGTCCGCTCTGATAATAGTTTGGACATGGTGGCTCAACTGGCCCATGCGAGAACCACATATGTTCATCCCCTCCCTGGGAGGTTCTATTTCGAGGCAAGAAACCGATTGAACGTTGTGCACTGCAGCACATACAAGGTCAGCGAACGTTGTGCGTCAGTCGCGGTACCACAAAATGGCGTGCGCTTCTTCTGGCCAATCATCAGTGCGTAGATTGATCTTTTGCCACCCTGCATCCTCAGCCTGGCGGCTTGCCCATGTCAGACACTCACGACTCTTACGAAATGCGATATCTCTTGGGTCGAATCTAGGATTCTTGAGGAGTGACAACAGACAGTCAACGTCAGTTTGGGACATGCCCACACCGCCCGTACATGAGAAAATCAGCGCCGCAAGTTTGCGGGAGCAGTCGAATGGCTCTGTGTGTTGTTGTTGCTGTTCTTCGGATGCGCAGTCTACTTCTATATCGGGAGGGGGCTCAACCTCCTCGCTTTCCCCATTGACCAGATTAATGGGACCACTATTTGACGGTCCACCGATAACCCCCCCAACTATCTCTTGTGTCGTCCTCCCGTCTTCCACAGCGGATGGACATGCCCGAGCTCGGTGTGAGTTCATCGTCCGTAATGACATGAAAGGCCACCCACAGTCACACACGTGACTTGCGCCATCCATTGCAACTACGTCCGAGAAATACAAAGTGATGTCACTTAATACCTATCGCAGATGGAGCATGCGCGTTCGGTGTGAAATTCATGAGTTCCTTTCACACTCCCCCCGCCCCCGTCCCCCCTCTCCCTCCCGTCGACCCGACATCGCTGCTGTGCACTGTTGACAGGTTCCAAGACAACGACAACATTCCAAGCGGTATTAAAATCAAGAATTGTGGTGAATGTTTCGCCCTTTTTTTCTTTTTTTTTTTTCTTCCAGGCATACCACATTTTCTTTGACATTGTCACATCCTCGTTTCCTGACCGCGCGTACACACACACACACACACACACATACACATACACACATACACACGTGGCAGACACACACACACACACACACACACACACACACACA